ACCAAACAGGAGATACCAATCTCCAAGCATAGTACATAATATGTGTTAATAAGATAAATAAATATTAGAGGAATTTACCTAAGTAGTACTAAAACATAGTAACTTTTCCAATATAGCACCATATATTTTTATTTCGCAATGTAGTATCACTATTCAATGTCCATTGGTCATTGTTCAAGTAAATGTCCACCACCACTAGACATTGTTCAAACTAAATGTCCACTATCACAGGAGATTGTTCCCGTCACTAGACATTATTCAAGTACTATTTAGTGAATAAAAAAGTTTAAGTACTACATTGGAAAAAAAACATATGTTTTTGTACTATTTAATGCAAATTTCACTAAATATTACGGAGTATTAAAGTTGACAAATGAAAGTCATCAATGAATGAAGAAAATGTCATCACAAACTGCAGCTTCAAGATGAAACTGAAGTAAGAGGAACTTATCCACATTTCCGGTATTGTTGTGAAGTTTGTTTGAAAGCAGTGCCAAAGTGTGCTATGCATCGAATGCATGCGTTTACTTATAATTAAAACTTTTAACATGTTTGAGACCTCAAAGTCGTATATCTTTAGCATGTTTGAGGTCTCAAAGTCACAGAAACAATGAACTGATCATTTAATACATTAGTACCTATACCTTTAATTCGAGGTCTAAAAGTTGAGACTCTTTTGGCTATCCACATGTCTGGTCCTTAACATGCTTGAGGCGTCGAATTCCTTTAACTCCGATATGCATGCTTATGCTAAGTTTGCTGTGAAGTATAGTTCAGTTTTCCTGCTAAGTTTGTTGGAACGTTACTATATCCCAACTCATCTAAATCTTTGTCTTGTGATATTTTCCATCAAAGGGGAATCAAGTAAGTTGTGACCATGGAGTTAAATACTACTGTGTTTCTTTTACCGGCCTCTTTCGCTTCTTTAATTGTGTGAAACAGTAGTGTTTCTTGGCACTAGCTAGATGAATGTCCAAAACCTCTTCTGTAGGGCAGTTTTGATTGGTTTCATCGTTTTGTAATCTTGGCAGGGAGGAAAAAGCACATTGGAAAATTGTCAGGTTTTACAGGTATATACAGGCTCTTGCTTTTCATATCAGCTTCCTAATAGTGTTCTTGCTCGTGTTTGCTTCTTGCGTTTTCTCTTACTTGATACAAAATGGTTTGTTCTCTGCTGCACCAGGCGAGGGTGAATAGGTCTAAGGGAAACCGAACAGAAATGTCTAAAGCCGAACTGATTCAGAAAAGCTCATACTGCAGAGTTTCAGGTAATCCCAGCTTTTGTGCAGCTCCAAGCTAAATACTCCGGCATGTATTATATCGTTTGTATCTTTGGGGTTTAATGTTTCTTGGTGACTCAGGCCGAGACATGGATCTTGTCGAATTGACATCGTACGGCGATGTCCATTGTGGACAAGAAGATGCCGGCGGATGTAACATCCAATGATAATAAGACTCTCTTCAACAGCTAGCAGCACTGTCTAACAAAATCTGCAACTTCCATGGCTTATTTATGTCATGGTCCAAGTCTTATGGTTAAATTATAAGGATTGGTTGCATTCACCACCCTTCCAATTAAGTATTCTGATAAGAAATTTATTTCTATAGTAAAATTGTAAAAAGAACAACAAAAACGGTATATTTGGAACACAGGGGTTTGGACAGTGGAGAAGATGAATGCATTGTAGTGGTGATCTATTTAATTTTGTTGTTGGGAGTACTCCTTATTATTGGAGATAGTGTTGAAAGTTCATATATCATTCATGAAATTTATCCCAGATTATGGTTAAATATACAAGTGATTGAAAGATGAGGGAGGGAGTATAATGTATGTGTTGTTGTTGGGGAGTAGTACCATACGTACTCTATTTCATAGGGAGTACTAATTTTGTACTACTTTCGTTTGAGATTGCACTGGTAACCCCCTTAACGTCGGGAGGTTTTTTTTTTCTGATTTTAACACCCCCGGTGTTAAACACCGCCCCCGAGACTAACTCGCTTCTAAATGGGGCCACATTAGTTGTAAAATCTGAAAGTTTATCAGAGTTTACAAGGAATGTTCTCGTCCACAGAAGAGTTTAGGAAATGGAGGAGCTGGTGGAGGGTTGGGTCTTTGGAGCCGGATTCAATTTCTGGCTATCGAGGAAATCTAATTATTTAATACTCTTTTTGTCATTAAAAAAGTTTCTAAATTTCAAGCTCTAAATATCCTACACTACTTATCAATACAGAGTTGTAAATATGGGCTGCACGCACAAGTTTCAAAATGTATAAATAATACTCCCTAGCTACTCCATCCTACATGTTTCTATCTCGTTTTCGTTTAATATATAGGGAGTAATGTTTGGCTAACGTTATAATCGATTTAATTTATTTAAATAAATGGTGACATAGAAAATGATAAATGCCACGCACGACTATATATTACGGATTATATTCCTTATCAAACGATATACGTCGTGTGATGGAGTATTTATAATAATGGATGTCACTCTGCATTGTTTACAATTGATGTAAGGGAGTACTAATTTTGTATAAAAATGGATTCAAAAAAAAAGATACTCCGATCCCTCTCTTTAGTAAAACAGTTTCTATTTTTACTTCTGTCGGATTTATTTTCATAATTTGAGTTTCAAATTATGTCTTAATTAAGCATCGAAGAAAAAAGAGAAAAAACTCATTTAAATAATTATAACAATGCAAAATGAATGAGGTGTATTGCAATATGTTAGTCATTTTTTTATCATATAAGTGTTTTATTGCAAACGAAGAAACGACAGAGGAACTGTTTTAAGAAAATGAAAAAATTGTTTTTTATTGTTTTACCGATAGTGAAATCAATTGTGGGACGAAGACCGTAACTAAAGGAGAAAATATCCAATTTTATGGGACAATATCAATTAAGGGTACTAAATTACGGAGTAACTAAAAGTGCATTCTCCGGTGCACCTCTAAATAAATTTTGCACATGTTTTTTCCACTATAGAAATTAATTATACAAATTCAAAATCTTTTTCTCACTCGGCCCTAAATTATTAAGTTTTAACCACGTACATTTTAAGCCTTTGTTTGGATGAGGAGAGAAAATGACATGAAAGAAAATGATAGGAAAGAAAATTGTGAGAAAATAATGAGAAAAAAACTAATGTTTGAATGGATAGAAAATAATAAGAAAATGGTGAGAAAAAGAAAAAAAATGGAAGAAAAGGGAATTAATGGGAGAATACAAATTTGTACGTGTTTTTTTTAAGTGGTACCTACCGTTTTTTTATTTTCTTATTGCTTTTCTCAACCAACCAAACAAGTGAAAATGCTTCTTTTCTCATCATTATTTTTCTTTCCTCCCTTTTTAATTTGGAGAATTTATTTAAATAGCACTAAATATAATGACTTTTTCTAAATAGCATTATATGTATTTTTTTTCTAATTTAACACTTTTAGTCATTATCCATTAGTCATTATTCAAGTAAATGTTCGTCATCACTGGACATTATTCCTCCTTCCGGATATTATTAAGTGCTATTTAGGGAATAAAAAAGTTTAAGTGCTATTTAGATAAATGACTTAAGTTTTAATGCTATTTAGTGCAAATGTTTCTATAATGAAATGGATAGAGCTATTTGTACTCCAAGGATTTGTACCTCATTTGTACACCGCAGGTGTGCACCAACATTTTGTGTTGGTGTAATGCTAATTTGAGTTAACGCACTAACACTTTGTGTCAGTATAAAATTTAGTTAATACACTAACACTTTGTGTCAATGTGAACCATCAAAATATTAATTTCTACTTTTAGTGTAAGTTTGGCGTGGGGTACAATTTTTCGTGTAAGTGTAGCATGGTTCTAATAAAAATATTGATAGAGAGGGGGCATTAAAAGTCAAGAAAGTTAACTTAAACAAAACATTCCGTTTGAATGATAAGAAAATTGAAGGGAAAGAATGCAAGAAAACGTACTCCGTAGCATTTTTCATAGTTTGTTTTGGAGAGAAAATGGAGATGGAGATAAAGCACATAGAAATAAAACTATTCGTGTCCGAGAACCAATTCAATTAAAAATGCAAGTTGTGAACATTACATGATTCACATATGTTTCATCAAATCACATACTGCCTCCGTTCGCAAATGTTCTTCCCATTTGACTTTTCACGGTCTATAATGTTGCACTTTGACCATTAATATCTACTCCCTTCGTTCCTTTAAACCCTTCCACTTTTGACTTTTGGCAAAAATAAGGAAAATGTAATTTTGGTTGATTTTCCAATTTTGTCCATGATATGATGGGTAAAAATAAGATGTGATAGTTTAGTTATTAGAAAAGAAGTATGATGTGATAGGTAGGGTATGAAAAAGTAAGGGTAAAAGTGGTTTTTTAATAGAAAGTGGAAGTGTTTTAGGGAATTCAAAAAAAACGAAAGAGGAAGGGTTTTGTGGAACGGAGGGAGTATATTAATACATAGATATATTTTATAAAAATTTGATATTTGAACACGTTTTATTATGAATATATTGGTATTAAATTTACATCATAATACAATGTGTTTTTTCTACAAATCGTAGTCAAAGTTTATAAACTTGACCAAGAAAAATCAAATGTGAAGAAATTTTCGGACGCAGGACTGCAGGAGTATTAAAAAGAACCAAAATATAATCTTGGATCAGATTTGGGGAGTTTTTTTCTTGATTCACGCATAGTTTCAAAGCACATGGAAAAACGAAGCTCATCCTAATAATTACAGGAAGAACGTAACGTACTTAGGATAGAGCAAAATTATACACTACATACACCGTGCTATCTACGAGGTGAGTGAGTGATTGATTGATTGGGATTATCAATTAATGCTGCTAGTGTTTGCGCATTAATTGATTAATTAATTACTGTACAAAATTAAACCGAGATCAAATCTTACACGTACATAGTCGTCAGCCCCACCAAAAAAAACAACAAAAGATGGAGCCACTGAACAACATCATCATCATAAAAAAAAACATCATCATCGTCAAATCAATCAGTTTAATTCTAGCTAATCAAATTCTTGGAGGAGCCTCCGCCGTCTGTAGTTAGCCTTGAAACAAGCTTGCCTCAACCTTTTGGTAGTCTCGTCAAGTTCCATGTCTGGGTTTTCTTCCATCTTCTTCTTCTCCATCTCCAGCACCTCCACCGCCGCCTCCTCCTTTCCCGCCGCTTCTCCTTTCCCCACCAGCTCCTGCATGCCATGCAACTTCCACAATCAGTTTTCTAAAAGTGTTCCACACAATTTGTAAATCATTGAATACTCTAATGAAAAATGAACGTCAAGAAAGAATATATGTAAACGCTGCTGCATGCATGCACGCATGCACCTGGACATTGTGGATTAACGTTTGGAGGCTGGCGAGCTTGCGGTGGGGCCAGCGGCGGATGCCCAACGTCCGGCACCTCCGCTTCAAGTGCGTCAGCCCGACCTTCATCTCTTTGGCGGCTTTCGATATCGGCACATTGAAGTACTTCGATATGGTCTCTCTTGACAATGTCTGAGCTTTGCTACCACCGCGAAGATGATGTCTGCTTCTGGGCTTCTTACTGGCCGCCGCCGCCGACCGCTTCTCCACGCCGTCGCAGCTCCCGGCGGCTGCAACAATGGCGTTTGTTTCCTTGTGTTCGTCCTCCCAATCCAAGAAATACGATGACGGCATCGACGAGGACGACAACATGGGATCGTTGAGAAATGTTTCGATGCCAGGCCAACCAAAGTAGTCTTCACAGAAATATAAACTGTTAATTACAGATGATATAGAAATTGTTAGTTGAATCATTAAATATGTAAAAATTGGTATTAAAAATGGAACTACCTACATTTAAAAAAATATTAACATTAATAATAACCTGAGATGATCATCATCTTGAAAAAATGGAGGAGGATTATTGTCGTAGTTGATCACTTCTGGGTTTGGAATAACCTCAAAATCTGCCGGCCAGTAATTGTCGAGACTATGAGAGAGGCTTCCCATATTATATTACTCCCTCTTATTGCTAATATTGCATGTGGGTTTATGTGTGTGTATATATATATATGTATATATATCTATGTTACTCCATCCCTCCTATAATGTTCTTCACGTTTGTGTTACGAGATGTGACCAACTTTATTTTCAATTCAATTTATTTGATTGTAGGTGTAAAATTAAAAAATAAATTTTATATATTTAAAAACTAAATCAAAAGTCTTACAAAACAAGTGGTAACAATACTGTATTATTTTATCAAATATCTAATGAAAATAGGGGAAAAAAGTAATTAAAATTTAACCTTGTAAAAAGTAATTGTGAAAAATATTTTAGGAAGAGTAGTAATTAATACTTCCTCCGTCCCAAATTAATTGTCACATTTACTTTTTCAACAGTCGCGAGAACTTTTGTTTATTTTTACGTTTTCATTGGTTATTTGATAAAATAAAATATTCTTGACACCTTTTATTTTGAAGAACTTTTCATGTAATTTTTTAATATGTAATTTTTATTTTTTATTTCTTTACCAATATGTAATTAAAATAAATTGAAAAAACTTGATATTTTGCCTCGATAGTAATAGAAATGTGACAAATAATTTGGGAGGGAGGAGTATTTGCAATAGAGGTGACAAGATAGTTTAGCGCATGTGATTATATTGGGTGGAGATGAAATGATTAATGTGAAGGCAATTATTACGACTTTTATAGTTTTACGAGTATTTGTTTAAAACTTGTGCGCCGTCTCACTATTCCTTCAGATTGCCCGCCCTTCAATGTTTATATTACTCTTCCCTCCACATATAAAATTCTTTATTACTCATAAGGTTAAATTTTATTCACTTTGTTGGCTTATTTTCGTCAACCATTTGATAAAATAATATAGTCATGTCACATCTAGTTTTGTAGATCTTTTGATATATAGATTTTTAATGTGTAATTTTTATTTTTTACTTTTACACATTTTTTCATATAAAATGATTTGAAAATAACTTAAGTCAAACATCGTAACGCGCAACGGAAAATTTATCTGTGGACAAATAGGGTGGACACGGTACGGTTCCGGGACGGTTCCGGTACCGCCAACCCTTGGTACCGGTACCGGATCGGCCGGTTCCGGTACCGGCGGTTCCGGTTCCGGTACCGGCGGTTCCGGTTCCGGTACCGGCGGTTCCGGTTCCGGTATCGGCGGTTCCGGTACCGTTTCGGCCACCCATAATTTCTTTTTTTTTTGCTTTTTTATTAAAATTTTAAAGTGTAGAATTGTAAATGTGTAATTGTTAAAAGAAAAGATGAAATAAAAAACTCTAAAAATGAAATTAATAAAGGAAAAAATGAAATAAAAAATAAAAATAAAAAAAATTAATTACGGTACCGGAACCGGAACCGGAACCGGTACCGCCGGTGCCGGTGCCGGTACCGAAAAATGGGCACCGGAACCGGTACCGGATTGGGCGGTACCGGTACCGGTTCCCGGAACCGGTGGACCGTCCCGGCCGACGGTAACGGTACCGGTACCGACGGTACCGTTTCCGGTCACGGTACCGTACCGGTACCGTGTCCACCCCTATGGACAAAGGGAGTACTCGGTATTTTCTTATTATTATACTCTATATCTCTGTGTTTTGGTCCAGATTAATTTTTTTGATTAAATTAAACAAAATTTCTAAATTTATATTGCACATTAATATAACAAAATAAAATTTTGAAAATATTTTATACTATAATTCTAATCACTCATTTCTTACTCCCTCGGTCCCAATTTATAGCGCATGTTTCGGTTTACGATGTTTGACTGAAATTATTTTTAAATTATTTTATATGACAAATGATATAAAGTTAAAAAATGAAAATTACATATCAAAATACTACATCAAAAAATCTACAAAACTAGTAAGGACAATAGTACTTTATTTTATCAAAATTCTAACGAAAATAGAGAAAGAAAGTAAGTGAAGTTTGATCCAGTGAATTATAAACATAGACTATAAATTGGGACAGAGGGAGTACTTTTTATATCAAGAGATGGGGTATCCCCAAAAGGTCAATTAATCACTACAATTAACTGCACGAATGCCAGAAGGGGAGACAAATTCTCTCAAGTACCGTATCATCATGACCCATTTTTGATGGAATTTAGAATGGGCATGGTTAACTAGATTGAACAATAAGATATTTGTACTAAATTACATTAAAAGTTTGAGTTCAATTGATTAGTTAGTTTAACTCAAAGAGCTTATATACTGATTATTTACTTTTGGACTTTTGATGTGAGATGCACTCTAACACTTCTCCTTAAGTGAACAACGAGGTCATTTTGAATCTAATTGGTTAACCTCTTGCAAATGAACTCTCATCCCCTTGTTTTTTTAGCACCAACACATAATGGATCACGAGCCACTGAGTATGGACTTTCAGACGAGCAATCATGTTAAACTGGCCACATGTCGTTGGGTACATCCTACATACGGACAAATGGGCTAAAGACTAATGGGTTGCTATGAATGAACGTCTAGACGGGTACTTTGACAAACGAGGTGACCAAAAATCTGTTTCGATACCATGATAAAATTCCAATGGATCGAGAACAACGGGTATAGTATCGGATAAAATTAACCACTTGCATATAAATTTAAGATCCACTACTCTAATTCAAAGAATTAAGCTTATAGGTAGGATTTCATCCCCTTATATAAGCTAGTGGTATTTATTTTTATTTACCGATGTGGAAAGTCTAACACTCCCCCTCAAGTCCTAACTAGCCTGACCTAGTTTGCACTTGGACAAACGGGTATAACATCTCAATCTCTTATAGCTAGCTCACACAACAGACGGTGGTATCTCAATCTCTTTTTAGCCAACTCAACCCAAACCATGAACGGGTAGCTTTTTTTCTTTTTAGCTAAACCCACGTCCAACACACAGGAAGAATCAAACATGGACCAGACCTGTAACACAATATTGCTCTTTGTACACGTGTTTGAGAGTAATATTTCATTCCTTCTTTAGCCTTCTTCTACACTCCGGCCATGACAACTTGTTGCAAGGGGCCAAGTGGTTCCTCATCATAATGAATCTATTTGATAGCATCTCTAGAATCGCTTTGGACGATTAAATGACAGGATTGACTGCAATCTTTATTACAAGCTCATTCAAGCCCTAAAAGTAAGGTTTTGCACTCCGTTAGACCACATTATCAGAATAGAATCTGCCCATGAAGCCAATTATCCAGTCTCGTAGATATACAAACTGAACCAGCACAACTTGCTACCCCATTAATTCCTCGTTGTTTGCCATCTACATTCAAAGCAAGTGATCTAATTGGAGGATTGATTTCTTACTTTGATTAAGTTTTTTAATACAGAGTACCTCTTATTTTTTTCTTAGTTAGAGTTTATGCACATATGCTTCGGTTTTGCTAATTAGAGTTTATGCACATATGCTATATATTATGAAACTTCTTAATTGAGCCATACAATATTTTTTCACACTTAAACTGCTATATCCACACTTAAAATATTTTTCATCAAAATATTAATTATAATTTATTATGCTACATTTTTTTTAATTTTAAATCGTTCAACTAACTAAATAGAAAACATTATATAATCTTTTACCTTTTTGGAAATACAATTATCACCTTACACGGGTGTGGTATTTGTTTAAAATTCACTATTAAATTTTAATAATAATAAAAATAATACGAGTAGAATAGAAATAAGAACTATGAAGTAGTATATGTTGTACTCAATTAGAGCCAGAAGAAAATAAGAATAAAATAATGCACATTTATAAATATGTTTGGATTTTACAATGGAAGAAGTAAAATAAAGTAAAATAAAAATAAAGCGATGCCGGTTGTCAAAGGACGAACGGATCCTGGAGCTTCTAGGTGTGTGCAGTGGTGGTCTGAAAGAACATTAAGGGGCTGTTTGTTTCAGCCTCTTAATGGTTCAGATGTCTGAATGGTTCAGCACTTAATGGTTCAGACTGTTTGTTTCAGCCTCTTAATGGTTCAGATGTCTGAATGGTTAAGAGATTTGCCTCTGAATGGTTAAGTATTATACAGAGTCTGAATGGTTAGGACCTCTTATCTGAATTGATCAGACATTTGCCTCTGAATAGTTAAGCAATATACGTAGCTCTTAATGGTTCAGACCTCTTACTGGTTCAGCACTTAATGATTCAGACCTCTTACTGGTTCAGCACTAACCTATTCAGAAGTTGCCAAACAGCCCCTAACACGTTAAGAAAAGCGGAGTAATATATAAACATCTTACTTTCATGGTCTGCCAAAAGGTTTACTCATTATTTGCTGGATTTTCCAATTTTTTATTTTTTCCTTGCAAATTACTGCGAAATTGAAATTTGAAGAGACAATTGTTTGAGCTCTTGGCAAGATTTGGCGAGGAAGATTTCAAACACCCGAACACCGAATCAAGAGTACATCCTCAAGAACAGGCTCTTGGTTATGGAAATTGTTTTGGCTAACATATCTTCGAAAAGATTGAGTTGAAAACACATCTGAAGTAATAATAGAATTAAACTAGACGAGTGGACTTCATTTCAAAATTTTAAAATAATTTCAAAAAAGAAACCTGATTGAACGCATAAATCACCCCGTCTTCCAAACACGCATGAAGATAACTTTATCTGAATTTGCGAGGGTGAACCATCAAAGGGCATAGCCATAGTCCATAACATTCAATGGAGATACTTAATAAATGAACTACTCCAAAGAAGCACATGGTAGATAGGAAATATCATAGACTCAAGGCACACAATGACTAGAATTCAAAAATCACTATCATAAGAGTACTATTAAGTTGTTCAAAAATTATCATCAAAAGCAAGTAATTGGTAAAAAAAGAATCTACCATCACATATTGGTACACTCAAGCAAGTTGATCATCATGTTTGACCCACTCAGTTTCTCCACTTTCCTCTTCCACGCCCACCCCGTCTTCCACCACCACCACCACGACCACGGCCACCCTTATTCACATCAGATTTCACTGCCATGTTTTCCGGTAGTGGCAGTATGTTGTCCACACATTTTCTGAAGCTAAAATCATCAGTAGAGCCATCCTCCCTTACAATGAAGTAGCATCTGCTTTTAAACTTTGGGTGGAAACGGACTTGAAATCCGCCGACTCCAGCCCCAATTTTTCTCGCGAACTCTGCATGGCCTTTATTAAGCAATTCAAGCAACACCCTGTGTTCATACTGCAACCAATATTAAAGCATTGGATGTATTTAGGTGCCCAAACTCATATATAAGCTAAAGTTGCAACTTGTATGTGCATATGGAATGTTTTCAGTATTTTAGAGTAGCACAAAGATTGATCACTGGTGATAATCAAAGTCAAATTAATCAAAGGAATTGTTGTTGGGCTTTTATACACTGGTCATATTTATTTCAAAATAAGCAATTGCTCTTCAAAGTTCAAATGGCTCTAATATAATTGAAGAAGCAAAAACTAGTTACACCACTCCCCAAGTCCCCACCTTATACTAACTAGTTCACTTAGTCTGTTTCTACAGACAGCATTGCTCTGTTACCTATATGCATGTGTGTATGTCACACGCGCGCGCGCACACACACCCACAAAGGATTTTGGCAGGTAAAGAAAATCGGGATGAATATCTGAAAGAAAGGGAATGCGGGATGGACTTGTTGGGATTCATCCCACATCGGAAAAATAATATAAACACTACTCCCATATAAAGAAAAGTGAAGCACAACCCATTTGCTTAAGCTTTTGGATAGAAAGTGGATCTGGACTTCATACACGCAAGTGGTCAAATCTCACCCAACACTCTACCCAGTTCACTCGACCCACCAAAATTCCAACATAGAGGTCTAGGATAGCTGGGTTACCGTGTTTTTCCTTCATTATGGTGCATAATTCAGGAGGTTAGCTAGCTTTGTGGGGTATTTTCTTTGTGGTTTCCTATTTTTGAATTAAAAAATTATCATCAAAAGCAAATAATGCGTAAAAAAGAACCAAAGTTTGAACAATATCTATTTCCATTTAGCAGTACTCTGCAATTTAAGTTTTAAAATAGGATTGCTCCACTTTCATTCTTGGGGTTAGCCTAGAGATAAAGACATTCCTTACCTAGACTGTATAAACAAATGGGTTACTTCACAACAGGGTAAACAAGTAGTATTATGCATTGGCATATTCCATAAAGCAAAATAACACAATTTCCTAACCGCGTGCACATTATAATGATCAGAGATTTCACAGTATCGAGACATTTATCAATTATCACAGTTTAATTGCAAGTTGGCCGCGATAAGTCAAGTTGAAATAACAATTAAATGTAAACGTGTAGTTATATTGGATTAACTTAAATAAATATACCTTACTAAAATTGAGAAAAAATATTAACTTGGATTAAACATGACTATTTTTTATGCTACACAAATATTGAATCTTTCTAAGACAATAAATAAGTTCAATTTACAGTCTAATGGGGTTTTCTTATTATAAAAAAAGATGAACTTTTTTACCTCATTCAGATTGACATTGGTAGACCAGGTATGAAGAAGCTTATGGAAATAATCAAACATCTCAACCGATGACCCGAAGGTCTTGGGACCGACGGTGACCGGACCGGATCTATCATCCTTCTTCTCTCCGTCACCATTCGCGTCTCCTTCCAAAATTTCAACTTTTTGCCCTTCCTCTGAGTTCTGGACCTTCGTCTTCTTGAAGGAGTCGCCATTTTCACCATTCTCCTGCTCGCCTCCCTCCTCCCGGTGTCTCTTCCCGGCGCCGTTCTCGGCAGCCGGTCCCTCGCCGGACTTTGTTTCAACCTCCATTTGATCGGCCATCTTATCCGCCTTTCTTTCTGGAGAAAATTTCAATTTGGGGCATGTACAGTACACCCACAAAACCCTACTGCTTTTGGGTTTTACGGTTCGAAAATTTGCAAATAATATGGCTCTTAATAAATATATCGAAATGGGCCAATGGGCTTGTAACGGGCAATGGGCTTTCTCAAAATCGGAAAAAGTTTCCAAAGGAAGATTTCTCGCTTCCAAAAAGGAATTTAAAATAAAACCTTTCCAATTACGTCATTACATACGCAAATTGTTTTTTTTTAATTTCGTGTTTTTTCCTGTTTTTGGTCAAATTAAAGTTACAAACAAATTACATACACTGTAACGACTAACGAGTTACTGTTATAAAATGTATCATTTTTAATCATTTATTAAAATAATATAATCATCTTACCTTTTATATTATAGAGTATTTGATAAATTATTTAAAATAGAAAAATGGGCAAGAAATTAAAAAAATTAAATAAATAAAAATGGAATAAAAATGAGTGGTGGAGAAAGAGGTGGGGGACAAATGGGGTACACCTACCCCTAACATTGCTCTTTAAAATATACAAAATATAAATCTTATTTTAAAATTTTGTACAATTATTTAATAAATTCAATTATTCATCGTAATTTGTTTTGTCACTCTAGGTCCTAGTTTTTTTACTCTATTTTCTAGATATGGAACGAGTTCGTACATGCTACAGCCTTACAATTTGACGTATCAAAAGTAAGATACAACTGGGTAGTACTCATTTTAAAGTAAACTTGTGCTTCTTCTCGTACAAAATACAAATGTTCATTTTGAAATAATGTAATATTCATTCTGAAAGAACATAGTACTTATTTTCATACATTGGTTGAATACAGTTACAATATTCATTTATGAATAACGTAGTTTTTATTCTGAAACAATGTTATATATTCATTCTCAAATAAAATAGTGTTCATTCTCAACTAAGTTACTGTTCATTCTATCTTTGCTAAGAGTCTGAAATTTGCAATCCTTTTTCCTCTTTCTCGCTGAAACGCTAAAATCTTCCATGTAGCGGACCTAGGTTTTCGACATCAGCGACTCCCCCCATTTTTAAAGCCTCAACCTAAGTTTTTCGTCGTCATCACCTTAGTCAATTTGGCATACCATCACCTTCGCCATTATCATCACCTTCGTTGTTGCCACCATCATCTTCACCTTCACCACCATCATATTCACCTATGTCAAGCTGGTGTTCACTGCTCCTTGGATCTCCGCTGCTCCTTCGAATCACCACTGGCTGTACTCAAAGATAGGTACAGTCGATTGTACCATAAAATTTATGCCATATTACGAAGTCCGTTTTTACCATATTCATGTTTTTTACTATATTTACTATTCCTATTTGAGTTAGGAATTCCTATATATCCCGCATATGGGTAAAATTTTCATTGTTTAATAAGGTTATTTATAACAAATTGCATCCATCTTTTTATTTCTCTTTTTTTACAATAAGAAAAACTTTCTCCGTCCTAGTTTATTTGTCATGTTTAACTTTAATAATCAGTTACTCTTAATTGATGTTGCATATCAATACAATAAAATAGAATTTTAAAAGTTCTCGTCAAGATAAATCTATTAAATTAATTTTTATACTAAAATACATTACCATTTTCATTTAATTAATTACAAAAGTCCGCCCAATTTGATTTGAAAAAGTCAAATTGAACAAATACACTGAAACAGTAATAGTATGATGTTCATAAAGTTTTAGATTGTCAAACAAATTTTAATAACATATTAATCACTTTTAAAATTGTTTTTTAACCCAAAAAAAAAAGAATTAGGGTGACAACGCGTCAATTCTATTTTGAAATATGGAGTAAACAAAGATTTATTGTGGGGGTGGACTGTGGGGACACCCTTACCGTCAATATGAAAAGGTCTTCTTCAAATAACACAATATAGCCTACTACTCCTTCCAAGAAGTTGCATCCCATTCCCATTTTTATCCCCACATACCATTTCAATTTTCAATTCTCAAACTGTGCCTGGTATTTGTTTGACTAGTTCAAGACTTTGACCCTCCAAATGTACCGTTGTCATATACGGTGCTGCTTTCTTTTTTTTCAACAAGAATATCCACATGATTATTTTTCATGTCATAATGTCCTGTTCAGAACAAAAATAGTATTTTTTTAGTAATATTAATTCGATTAAAATAAAATATAATTATATTCGTGTAAGGTGGCAATTGCATCATTTTCATGAGTTTGAACATTATTTTAATTGAGAAATTAGGATAAAGTGTTCAACAAAATAATGTTTGTGAAAGAAGTGACCCGAAACAAAGAAAATGTGAACTTGAATTGAGACTTCTAGAGTAATTTTAAATCCGTATACATACGGAGTATTTTCAACCTTTTATTAGCTATAAATAAATGTACGAGCGAATAAAATAATAATACTACTCCGTAAACATCGATGAAAATATAGTTCACGAAACTGAGCAGCGAACCATTTTGCAATCAATCCATTTCAAGGCAAAAGGCAGCTAGGCGAAGGAGCTGTTACGACTTTTGTTTTCTTTGGAGAAGAAGAAGAAGAAAGGCATAAACGGGACGGGTAGAAGAGACTTCAGTCATCCGTCATTCAGATTGGTTCATCATCTCATCTATCAAGAATTGCGTTTTCTGGTAACTTCAGCTGCCTGTTGTCTTTGCTTCGAATCCTCTATTCCCGATCTCTATGGTTCTTCTTTTTTGGGGGGGGGGGGCGGGTTTGTAAGGTTTGTTTTCTTCTGCGTTTCTGTAGCTACAATTGCGTGAAAAATCTTTGCTTTCGAGATGTTTTGATTTGGGTTCTTTGCAATTTTGGGTCAAAAAAAAATTCCTCCTTTTTTTTCCTATTTATGTGATCATTGAAAGAATGACCGTGTTTTTTGAGATTTTACCTTAAAATTGAATCAGAAGTTCAATGATTGGGATTCTTGGATGATCCTTGGAGCTGATGTAAAAGGAAAATCCAAAGGAGAGGATACAATTGGAAGTAAAATTTGGGGCTTTTCGGGGTTAGGGTTTTTAGCAGCGGTTTGGTATTACTTTTGCATAGTTCCTGATAAAGCATTGGCTTTGCTTTGTCATTGGGTGCAAATTAATTTACAAAAGAGCAGAAACCTGGTATTGTTTCTGACAGTTTTATCTTGTTTATGGTTAATGTAGTCAGATTTGATAGAGAAGTAAAATGGGTGATCACTTGGTCTTGAGCAATGACCACTTAACTACGCCTCTGCCGGCTAAAATATCGCAAAGCTCTGAGGCACCTGGACCTTCAGGAAGCATTACTGTACCTCACAAGCCGGATTATAAATCTGCTCTGCCTATAGATATTAAGGATGAAGATGAAGCACCCGGGGATGCCGGTGAAGAAGAGCCTCTACTTAAGTCTGTAGAGTGCCGCATTTGCCAGGAGGAAGACACTGTCAACAACATGGAGGTTCCTTGTTCATGCCGAGGCAGCTTGGAGGTGCACATTGTTTTGTTTTTGCTACTATGTTGTCAATAGTTCATATATGCTTCACAAGACACTTGCTCTTGATTCTCTATCTTAGGGTAGTAATATAGCAGTTCATCCCATTATTGAAATGCAGAGTACTCCGTATCATTTATTTGGTTGTTGTGCTTTGCAGCACTTAGATTGATTCACTCCTGGTTCATGGTGGTTGAATATAACTCGTGAACATGTTGTGCTTGAAAGGATTTATGGATTTTATTATGTTATAAAGATCATAGCAGATTTTGTTGTTAAGCTGTTGTGACTTATTTTTCTCTTAACCATGTCTTATATCCAGTTTGCCCATAGGAAGTGCGTCCAAAGGTGGTGTGATGAGAAAGGGGATATAACTTGTGAGATATGTCATCAGGTCTGTTCCTGCTTCTTTTTCAATTTAAAAACTTCATAAAGCAACTTGTGAGTTGTGAGTATTTAGATAAGTGGGTCTTTTAATCCACCAGCTGCCCTTCTCTTCATTGGTTTCATGAGGGATATAACGTTATTTTAAATCCTTCTTAACCATCTATGCTGTATGTTTTCCCCACATTTCTTTTTGAGTAAAATTGCTCCTATATTCATTCTTGTTAATTTTTCCAATTTGCAATTCTGGTTTAAGTACCTAATTAGTTCTGTTACTTTGAGCCATAGTGTGGATAATCGACATTGACATGGTCTTCTAAGGAACATCACTATTGAGATATCATGATATGGTCCAAGATTATATTGCCCTATGTTCAAATTAAGAAATAGGAGCACCCATTATATTTAACGAAGCTTATATTTAGTTCTTTAGGTCTAAAGAAAACCTTCATTTCAGTTGAGATCTCCTTTAAGCTGTTCGAACTTCACTTTGTGTCTAGCTTACAAGTTTTGAATTTTTCTATGAATGCTTACCAATAGTTGTTGGCATGAATGCCGTTTGATGTCCAATATTTTTTTCCTGTTGTGCAGCCTTACCAACCTGGCTATACTGCTCCTCCTTGTCCTGAACCTGAAGAAACTACTATTGATATTGGGCAAGTTTCCTTTTTTCCTACTTCTCCTTGCCACATAAATTTACACTATGTTTAGTTCGAGGAATTCAGAATAAAAAGAAAAGAAAATGGTTTGCTCTCAGTTTCCTCCCCAAAATGGGAGCAATCATATTTTCCCTCCTCTTGATACCTTTTGCTTTCTCATTTTCTTTTCCCCACTTTTTTTTTCTTTTGCTTCCTAACCAAACATGAAAATCTGTTTTTCATCTCATTTTCTTTTATTTTCTGTTTCAAATTCTTTGAACCAAATATAGTTAGTGTTAGGGTATGTTAAAATTGAAAGGGAAAGGAATAAGACACTGAGGGAAGTTATTTTAGCATGTTTGTTTTAACCCTGATAATGCATAGGAAAACAAAATATGAACAGTTTTTTTAAATAAATACGGAGTATAACATTTACTCTATTATATTTAATAGACAAATATAAACAAAATGAGTATCAAGTATCAACAAATATCAAAAATAAAGTTATTTGAGTTTTTTCCTATCCCCCCAATCTCTTTCTGTACATCCTCCACGTTTTCCTTCGTACTTTCTCTCCCTTGATGGATCCTTTGGATGTTAAATTTCCATTGTTATGTATGCGGTTATGTTGCAGGCCGGGGTGGACTATTGCTGGAGATCAGCTTAACTTACATGATCCCAGACTGCTAGCTATGGTTGCCGCAGAACACCACATTCTTGATGCTGACTATGATGACTATGCTGATTCAAGTGCCAGCAGCGCTGCATTTTGCCGCTCTGTTGCTTTCCTTGTAAGCACTCTCTACCTTTTCGACCACCACAACTCCCACAACCCATTTAAATATGTCATCATTATTCATTCACACGGCGGTTACTTGAAATCCGGTTTTAGAAGATCATTTCCCATATTAGGCAGATCCATACACCTTGTAACTATTGGCTGCTCAATAAAAAGCTTGAAGTCTGGAATAGTTAGCTGTTCTTTTCTTCGTCTGAATCGTTCTCTTTGGTTTGTGGCAGTTAATGGCTCTTCTACTTTTAAAACATGCTCTGAACATTGGAAATGGTGAAGGGGATGATGATGATGTTTCTGCCATTTTCTCCGTAAGTGGGATAATTGTGCGTGGAGCCTTATTAGTATCCATATGTTTTTATGTATTGCCATGTCAAGGAATTGATTATTATAAGGTTTGTGTCTTGCAGCTTTTTTTGCTTCGGGCAGCTGCTTTCCTTATTCCATGCTACATTATGGCTTGGTTTATTAGCATATTACAGCGTCGGAGGCAGAGACAGGTCAGAGTTTCACTTATGGCTGCTACCCTTTTATTTGTTTTTTTTGCGTGTAATAATTATTTATTTATTTATTCGCTCACTCACTGTGGTATAAATGAAAATTGCAAAAAGCAGGAATCAGCAGCAGCAGAAGTAGCATTTATGCTTCAGGCAGGGCGGCAGCACAGAGGTTTACACTTTGCAATAACACCACGGCCTGCACCACCAGCTTCTCTTCCTCCTCCTCCTCCTCCTGGGGGGGTGCCTTCGTTGTCCACAACAGAAGTCCCGATCGAGCAAGTATGAAGGGGATGAGTGTTTTACTTCATTGTACGTCCGCCTGTCTGTCTGTCCTTTGTAAAGATGTTTGTTTATGTTTTATATATATGTATGCACCAAAGAAATATCATATCTCTTTATTATTATTGTCATCTTGGTATGCCATCTCTTGCTGCCAATATTGGTTGGTGGGTTGGGGATATGCTGTATCGCATTTGTCAAGGGAAGACCTCTCATTTAACCCTTGGTTTTTATAATAATTCGACATTCACTTTGAACTATGTATATTTTTCTTTTATTCTATATGTTCCCAAAGTGCATTATACACCAAACTGTTAATTCTCAACTATGGTGCCTTAGCCATTTTGGGCTTTCGTTTTGGTTGAGCAACAACCCTCGACACTGGTTGCCCAGCACCCGAAGGTAAAGGCCTTAGTGCCGTGGTCAACAACAACAATGTCATCGTCCTTTTGTTGTTCCACAAAAGCTTCCTTCGTAGACCCATATGGAGAAACTTGTGCAGCCTCCTCAACTGGTTCACGGGCATGGCGCTTTGCGCAAGCCAAGGAATGGTGACTTGATATGGCATACGTGGAATTCAATTATATTTTGTGACGCTAACAAGTAACAAATCAATTTAACAATGTGAAATTCAAATACGAAGGAAGCGTCAACTTTTGTACTAGAATTTTTTTTTTATTCATAGTCACACAAACAACTTTTATACATGAAGTTGTACACCAAATAGACTTGAATGTTGGAGAGAAATGAAAAGAATTAGAGAATTATGTAATAGAAGAAACTAGAATAAATTGAAAGAAAATTGGAAAAGAATTGAATGAAACTAGAAAATTTAAAAAAAATCTTAAATTAAGAAAGGGAGTGATGTTGGTTGCTTTGGGAGAAGAGCTAGGAAGAGTCTAAAGTGAAATGAGAACAAAAAGCAAAGCATGATAAGCTATAGCTAATGGATTTTCTTTTATGAGGAGAGCTCTCCATTCCTCACATTTCCCAATATGGCTTTGTTTGTTATTTTTTTAAAAAAAAATATTCAGCTGTACCACCAATCTGATTGGTTTCTTAGCCAGCTTTGATTCCTCCAAAAGGGATCCAACAACAGAACACATAGATAGATAATGGATTGGTCCAAAAGAGGAAGAAGCTAATCAAAGACACATTCTGTTTGCAGTAGGGACAGTGGGGAACAAATCTTTAAGATTCTTTGGCTTCCCCCCAGATTGATGTTCCCAATTTGCCCTTTTTGTTCAAACCTCTCTCTCTCTGAACTGAACTTAACCAGCAGCAGCCTTAAGCATATCAGGCTGCCCTGCCCTGTCCTGCCCTATGATTGGAGGGGTTTTTTTGGGAACCTACCCATGCCAATACCATATATATCCCTTCTTCTTTAGCATGCCTTCACAAATCCCATTAAAGTTCAGCCCACAAATGCCCCCCGGGGCAACTGCCACGTATACCTCATTTTGTTTCTTTGCTTATATAAAACTGTTCCCTTTGCTTCTCTGTGGATCACTTGTCCCTCAAACATCATAATCACTTTACCTTCTTCTTCTTCTTCTTCTTCTTCTGATCTGCTCCATTTTGTTTCTAGTAGGCAAAAAGCAGAAAAACATGGGCAGATGTTCTTGTAGTTGTCGGACGAGGATGATGATTCTGTTTGTTACAACGGGCATCTTCTTGTTTTCGTTTCAAGCCGAGAGGTCGTCTGCGCTGACAACGAGTGCGGGCATTGCTCTGAGAAGATTGGGGTCGGTTTCGTTCGAGCAGGCCGATGTGGAATCTGCTGCTGCCGCTGCGGCGCCGTCTCCTATGGTGGGGTCACTCGATCCGTACCAATCAGACAAAAGAAAAGTGAGCAAAGGGTCGGATCCCATCCACAACAGATGGTGATTTCATGATGAAGAAATTTGTCTAGTCCCTCAGAGTTAGCTGAAGAAGATGGCCTGATGAGATTTAAGGGAAAGGTTCTGCAGAATTAAGTTCGATCACCAGGCTTGCTTTCCTTCTGTTAGTTTGTGTGTACGACTATTCTTGTTTCCTGAATTATATATATTTATACTTTAGCAAAAATGTATTTTTTTTGTTTGAAGGAAGCAAAAATTGAAAAATGTATTATTAACATTGTACCTGGCTAGCTGGTATAAAAATCTTTATTAGGCCTTCAAATGCTAGAAGTTTTGGTTGAGTTGGCTTATGACAAAATGTAGTCATGCACCAATATCAAACAACTAAATTGAATCTAACAGAGGTAGATTATAAGCTAGTAGAAACCAAAATCTTATAAATTCTTAAGAGTATATGTATGTATCTTTTTAGTTTTTAATATGAATGAACAAGTAATAACTGTTTTTTTATTCGATCATAAGGAAAATGTGGGCAAAAGTCCTTCCTCATTCCCATTTCTTAGGCTAGACCATTTTTAGAAAGCATCTGTCCATAGCGCATTTCTTACTCATCTCTTTCATTATTTAATTTGGTTTCAATGGATTACAATTTATAAAGCACAACTTACTTTCTTCGTCCCAAATTAAAAAAAACAATCAATATATCTTTTATAATAATTTTATTCACAAACGGGTAGAGAAGCAAAAGGTATAAATTACATCATTCTAAAGTACATCAAAAGTTCTACAAAATATGTTGCGACAATAAATATTTGATTTTATCAAATGATCACCGAAAACGAGCAATCGTGGCAATCTTTTTTGGACGGAAGGTGTATTTAAAATAAAAAAAGTATTGACCGGTCCGGGCCGGTGGATTGGACCCAAACCCGAATAAAGAAAATTGGTGGACCGAGGATCGGAGCAAAAAGGGATTTGATCAGGACTGGTCCGGTCCAATCTTGATCGAGTTTCGTGTCAGCCCGGGTTTGTACCGAATAATGAACACCCCGAATATACTCCTTCAGTTTCCCTTAGATCTTCTTTAGACCCTATCTACTGAATCAAACTTTACTCACTTTATTTCTTTATTTTTATTGTTGATTACATAAAATAATACAATTTTGTCAATTTTTGTTTTGTAGAACTTTTCATTTATTTTTTATTATATAAATTCTATTTTAAAATTTTATGTTTAAAAATAAATAAATTAAATTGAAAATAAAGTTAAGGGTAATAAAAATATATATAGAGAGCAAATGCATTATAATTTAAATTGTCAAACCATCAATTTGAAAAAGGCCCAAAATAAATGTGGAGATAGTCTCCCGATATGTGAAAAAAGGCCAAATAACAAGTTGTCCAACATCGGAAGCCCATTATTACCATCCAGGTGAGGCCCAAGCCCATAATTTTCACAACGAATCCCCTATGGTCGAGTCGAGAGAGAGAGAGAGAGAGAACTACACATATGGTCATTGCGAATTTTGGATTTATTTTTGCTTAGTCCTTTTTGTTTTAATTTCATGCTTTTATTTTTTTTGTTTCTATATTTAGTTTTTTTATGTTTTAGTTTTTTTTTTATTTCTTAATAATAAATAAAAGAGCATTTTAATTTTTTTAAAAATCTTAGAAGCTAAGGGTATTGTTGTCAATTTCAAAGAAAAAAAGAGAGATGTGGAGTGCCAATAACAAAAGTGGATTGACATTTATCAATTCTCAACCCATTTATTATGGTTTGGAGAAGTAATAAATAAGGATACTTTCATTAATGGAGAAGTGTATCATATGTAGTGCAACATTACAAATTAAAGATAATACAGCATATATAAGTAAGAAGGCCGGCCGGCAACCTTAGCTTCTTCATATGTGTGTGTGTGCCGACATTATATATAGATAGAATATGTAATTAAGGGCACTTGGGGCCACCTTGTTGGGTCTTCCAGTTGTTGTAGCAAGGGCAGACGGACTTGTTGCCGTAGAAGCCGGGGGGCACACACAGGCATTTGTTGCAGCATTTCTTGCAGAAAAACATGCACGCCTTGTGGTACTGCGTCTTGCTGCACCTCCTCGTACATTGCGGCAGGCACTCTGCATTATTCATTCTCATCATCATCAAAGTCAATACATAATTAATTACATCCTTAATTTAAAAAGCAACATTCACGTAGTACATTAATGTATAAGAAGATCAGAAGAAATATATCCTCATGCACTTCAATTAAGAATCAACGTACTCATCAATCAAAAAATATTCAAACGTGTGACACTACGTAGTTTATATATATATATATATATATATATATATATATATATATATATATATATATATATATATATATATATATATATATATATATATATATATATATATATATAATATTCCATCTAAGATCGAGGAAAGCTAATTAAATAGATGACTTACGTGAAGGCCTTAGACTTCCCGCCCCATAGCTTGCCTGATCCAAACAATGATGTATGTATATATCAACTTGTCAGTGACTTATTTAAGATAAAAAAAAGTCAAATTGTACATCTATATATAGATATCAAAAACAAAAGGTGAAAATTGTACTCCATCGGTTAAAGACTATCCTGCATAATGGGTAATTAATAAGCTCTTGAATTAAACTAAATAATATATTAGATTAAAGAGTATCTCAATCAGAAAAATGTCAAGAATATTTTGAGTATATAAGCTTTTGAGTTGAACTAAATAATAGGTTGGATTCAATCTTTTAATGTGGTTCAATCCAAGTATCTTATTGCCTAGTCTAGATATCACTACCTCATTCTCAATTCTTTCACCCTTCATCTCTAAGAAATTGACACAATTTGACTTTTATGGTTACATCGTGACACCCTTTGATAACGAATGAAATAGAGTTTAAAATAATTAAATATTACAAAAAGTTGATATTTCAAAACTACCCCAAATATATTTTTAAAATAAATTCAATTTTACTAAATTTACATTATAACTAACAGTGATGCATGCTTACGTAGTCTCAAAATCTATTTTTAAAATAAAGACTTTCTCACATTTTAATGGGCAAACATATCATAGATGTGGATATTTTCTATTTTGAAAAGGCTTACTTCTTTTATATTAAAATGTACTCCCTCCGTCCCAGAAAACATGGGAGTTTTGGTTTTGGAGAGAGATTTAAGAGGAGTGTATTTTGGTATTGAATTTCCAAAAATGTCCTTTGATGTGATGAGTAAAAGTATGATTTGATGGATATATTATTAGTAAAAAGGTATGATGTGATATGTATGGTATGAAAAAGTAAGGGATAAAAGTGACTTTTTAATAGAAATGAGAAGTATTTTTTGGGACGGATGAAAAAAGAAAGGAGAAAGGTTTTTTGGGACGGAGGGAGTATTATGAACCATATAATGAACATGAACGACTTTAAGTTACTTTTTCAATAGTTCTTGGTCAAAGTATACCACAATTTGACAAAAACAAAAGTTAAATTCTGGCAATCTCTTAGGAAAAAGTGGAGTACGTATTAAAGACATAGGAATGGAAGAAGCAAATTAGCTAGGGGGGCACATACAAGATCAAGATTGGACGGCTTAGCATTGGAAGCAGCTGTTGCAGCCATGGCAATGGAGGAAGAAGAGAGAGCAGCAACAGTGATAATGACGAAGATGACAGTGAGCACAAGGCTGCGGCCGCCGCCGGTTGAGACAAGCTTATTAGCTGCCGCCATTGTTGCCAGTGATCGAGTTTTATTTATCTTTGCAGTTGTGTATGTATGTATATAATTGTGACGATTTGTGTGGAGTTGGACCACGTACCTATTTATAGCTAGCCCTCTTTGAATTAGATTTGGGACTAATATGGGAGTAATAATACACGGGAGTGGCCTTGCTAATATTCTATTCCCTCTCCTCCAAAATGATTTATCTATTTATTATTAGGACTTGTCGATAATATTTTCTGTTTTTGCGTTTTTATTGATTATTTGATGAAAATAAAATACTTCTGTCACTTCTTAAACTTTTGATGTAATTTTAAATATTTAAATTTCATTTTATATATGTGGTTTGTTTAATGTTGAGTATTATTATTGTACATGATTTTATAGAGTAGTTTTTTTAATATACTATGTCCAAGAAGTGTACGTACCCTAAATTGCATACCAAAAAGATGCATTAGCATTTTAACGATTCACATTGACATAAAATGCAAATTCAATAATAATAAAAAATTGCACTTACATTTTGTGTTATTTTAAAGTATCAAACTTGCATTACACTAAACAAATATTGGCGACTTGATGTATCAATCATACAATACAAAATGCAGGGTATTAATTTTCTTATCTAACTAATTTTTTCATGTAAAAACTTTAAAATTGTTCAAACCATATTATCCATGCATTGTGTGGCCGTGAAGGTGACATGTAAATTAAAACTGAGTTATAGGGCATGCAGTTGTTAAGCTTCAAACGACATATATAAAGTCTAAGTGCTTTATATTCCTCTGAATGCCAAAATAAAATAGGGGGCATCTCAAATGTGTCTTTACAACTCTTTGGTCTCTTTCTATATTTAACTTGACACAATGTGTTTTTCTTCCTAATGTAGCACTTTTAGTCATTATGCATTAGTCATTATTCAAGTAAATATTCGTCATTACTGGACATTATGGACATTATTAAGTACTATTTAGAAAATAAAACAATTTAAGTGTTATTTAGAGAAATGACTTAAGTTTTAGTGCTATTTAGTGCAAATATTTCTTTTTATAAAAACTTAAAAATTTATGGTCAAATTTAAAAGAAGAAAAAAAAAAGGACAGAGATGTTACATAAAATAAATGTAGTTGCCATGTGAGGAAACTGTTGACGGACACATGAAATGCTACGCTTAGTTTGTACATACACAAATAAAAAATAAAAAAATTTTAAAAAAATGTTTGCATGGCATGGGAGTGCTTTATAATTTTTTATGTGGTCTAAATTTAGTAAGATCTCAAGGGACCAACTTACTTGATGAACTTTCGATAATTTTTGTTTAATAGTATATTTTCGTTTATTATTTGATGAATAAAATATTTTTGTAACATCTTACTCCCTCCGTTCCACAAAACCTTTCCTCTTTCGTTTTTATTTGCTTTCCACAAAACACTTCCACTTTCTATTAAAAAACCACTTTTACCCCTACTTTTTCATACCCTACCTATCACATCATACTTTTTCTCTAATAACCAAACTATCACATCTTACTTTTTCTCATCACATCAAGGACAAAATTGGAAAGTCAACCAAAATTACACTTTCCTTATTTTTCCCCAAAATCAAAACCGGAAGAGTTTTGTGGAACGGAGGGAGTATTTTAAATGTTCCCTGTCCCGTAAAACTTTCTAATTTTCTCATTTTACATGTCTCATAAAACATACTTCCTTCGTTCCATAAATATATACCATTTTGACTTTTAAGAAATTAAAGTGATGAATACTTCCATGTGGCCGGCATATGCACTCCTTGCTACACTACGTTTTTTCTGTTTCCCCATTCCTTTCATTAATAACGCCAAAACTTGAACTTCCAATTTTTTCGATATAAATTTCGGTGCTTGACTGCACATAGTTTAAGGTCTCACTTAGGTCTATTTTGATTTTTACGGATCAAATAAAATTGAACTTTAAGCTTCAGTTAAACAAAAATTGTTATGTATGTTGGAATAAAAAAGATTTTATTAGATTAAATCAAGTTCAAAATTTTTAAAATTTTATTTCACTGTACTGTTATGTAGTACTCCCTCAATTCCTTTAAATCCTTCTCATTTTGACTTTGCACCAAAATAAAAAAAGTGTAATTTTGATTGACTTTCCAATGTCGTCTCTGATGTGATGGGTAAAAGTAAGATGTGATAGTTGAGTTATTAGTGAAAAAGTATTATGTGATAGGTAAGGTATGAAAAAGTAAAAGTAAAAATGGGTTTTAATAGAAAGTGAAAGTGTTTTAGGTTTTTTCAGCTTGACTTTAAAAAGTCAAGTCAAACTAGACAAATATACAATGAATATGTAATATCAAAGTGAAAAGAATAGATTGAAACACTGAAAATAAAACTTTGATGTTCTTTTTAAAAGTATTAGAGACCTCAATAGATAGTGTTAATTGAGAAAAAAATGAGAAAAATGAAATATTTAAATCTAAAAATAATCGAGTATTAAAGTGAAATTTTGAAAAAAAACGCAAAACTAAAATCTAAAGTGAAATACTAAAAATAAATTAAATTTTTTTAAAAAACTTTTTAGTTTACTATTTGAACAATTGTTTGAGATTAACCTCAAAGCCATCTCCATTCCATCAACACATATTGATCATCTGCCTCGCGCTCCCGTCATTTCAACTAAAACTAGCAATAAAGAGAGTGAAGGAGGATAAGGTTTGCATTATTATATTGGATGGACTACATACTAGGTAATAAAAGCAATAAGCAAGTACATCACATGGCCATGTTTCTCGGGCACATGGCTTTCATTTTTCATTTTCAGTACTCCCCCCGATTAAAAAAAGAAATATTTGCACTGAATAGCACTAAAACTTAAGTCATTTCTCTAAATAGTACTTAAACTGTTTTTTTCTTTAAATAGCACTTAGTAATGTCCATAATGTCCAGTGATGGTGAAAATTTACTTGAATAATGACTAATGCATAATGACTAAAAGTGCTACATTGGGAAGAAAAACATATGTAATGATATTTAGGGAAAGTCATTATGTTTTAGAGCTATTTAAATAAACTCCTCTTAAAAAAACATCATTAGCTAATACACACTAATACACTATAGTGGTAACTAATATATACAGTAACTAATTTTTTTACAAACACAATAAGAAACAACAAAAAACTACTACTGTAATATATTTTTACTCAAACATTCAAAGAATTCAAATTAAAATCACACAATTTAAAAGTATTATCATAATTATGTAAATCAATTTTTAAAATTTGCATTATACCTTATATTGTTTTTTAAAGAATCATTGGTTGACACCACCGGATCCCCTTAGGCCCGCCGCCCATGCATGTAATTACACTACACATGACACTAAAATTGAGAAGTGGTGCATTTCACAAATTAAATAACAATTCTCATAAACATTAACTATAGATTATCTTGGAATTTTATAAAATGTTCTAAATAGAATCGTACTTGAATGAGCTTAAGTGCCTCCTTGAACCATCTCTAATGGTGAGTCTCAACTGCCACTTTGAGTGGAACCAAATTAGGCAGCCCTAGCATATCCTTAAAATTAAATGATATTTAAAATTTTGAGATTCTCATTTTCAATAAAGGCAAATTCTTTCGTAGATCTAAGGTAAATGCTTGTGTTTATATGGATCTTAGTGTATTTCTAGCATAAAAGAATTGGGTCTTTGGCAAAATATAAAATATTTGCACGAAAGCTCATGTAAAATGTGAGAAGATCCATATTTTAAATGTAAACTTTTTTTTTGAAATCTTAAATGTAAACTTTAGAACAATTAAAACGTTACTCCCTCCGTCCTATAATGATCTTCTCGGTTCGCAAAACGAAGAAAAAACCCAAGTTTTTTCAATCTATTTTATTTAAGTATTGGTATAGAAATAAAAAATAAAACATACATATTTAAAAAATACACCAAAAGTTCAACAAAACAAATGGTGACAAAAATATTTTATTTTATCATATAGGCCATGAAAAAACACAAATAAATATAAATTTCCATGAAGTTGGAATAGTACTCTGGAAAGATCATTATAGGACGGAGGGAGTATATTTCAATAAAAAGTCTGAGACCATGAAAGCATCGCTCTTCAATAAAAAAATCTCATTTTAAGCCTACTTTATACAAATAAACAAATAAATACCGAGTTAATAAAAGAGCCCACATTGATATCCATGTTGTACCTTGCGTTGCATCTAAGAATTGCTTATGTTAGAAAGCCCAATATTAGTATTCATAAAACCACGTATAACTTATATTTTGGGCCTGGTCCAAAAAGAAGCTCTCTAGGCTTGACCATATTACTGTTTCGTCAAATTCGAACTATAGCATATTGTTTGGGCCCATGCAATAAGGGTGTTTTCCTTACCCATTTGATTTGTTTGGACAACTTTTTTGTCCAAAAAGATTGTTTCTCAAGACTTGGTGTAATTTTCAGGATTTTGAATATATATATATATATATATATAACTCAATTGATAATATTAGTTTAACATCTGAAAAAATACATCTGTTGAAATATAATTTTTTAATCTACTAAATCAGAAAGAGTCAATGTCTTCACACGCGGAGTTCCAACCGCGACTTCTCATTTGAGAGTGTTACAATTATGTTATTCAATCACAAGGTCTTTGTCAATATAGATCTTTCAATGTACATCATTTTTACTTGATTTCCGACGTTGTTAGTCCTAAATAAATTTTACGACTCAAGTTCACAAATTTTAAAAAAACTATTGATAAATAAAAATAGCACAACAAAAGATATTTAGATCAAATAGAGAAATTTCAAAGTATTTTGAAACAAAGGAATTCCATACGGTATGTAATATTGTACTCCATCCCTCTAAAAACACTACTTTCTCTGTCCCGCAAAAAAGTTTCCCTTTCTTTTTTCATCCGTCCCAAAAAATACTTCCCTTTTCTTTTTAAAAAGTCACTTTTACCCCTACTAATTCTTAACCTACATATCACATCACACTTTTTATCTCTTAATCTATCCATCTCATTCTACTTTATCCATCACATCAAAGAGCATTTTTGGAAAGTCAATACTAAAATACACTCTCCTTAAATCTTCAAAAAGTCAAAATGAGAACTTATTTAAGGGACGGAGTGAGTACTAGTTATTATTCACGGGTCAAGCTAATTCTATTTTTTAGGTATTTTTATCGATCATTTTATAAAATAAATAATAATAATAATAATAATAATACTCCGTAATAATAATGATAATCCTAATAATAATAATAATAAAAATTGTACGTAAAAATAACTATCATTAGAATAATTATACGTAATAATAATGATGCATTTTTACCAATCATTTGATAATAACAATAATCTTTCAAAAAAAATATGAATGGCCCTTCTCAACTCACGATTATAGTTTGGTAACCCGTATATATATATTATGTTGTGCTCATCAGTAAAATTTGACAGAAGAAGCTAATATAAGAATGTAGGGGTTGAGACAAAAGAGACAACCTTTATTTGTTTATATCTGCAATATATACATTATACCCCGTATATGGATAACCTTTGGTCATATTATATATCTCCCTTCCAAAATAATCATTTAATTTTTATTTTACTTTTTTCATCGATATATAATTTAATTTAAATAAATTGTTTTATTATATCTTGTTTTATAACAACTTTGAAATAGTTTGAAATATATAAATTATATTTATATTATACGGAGTATTATTTTTACGCTACTTTACTAATAATAATTTTATAAAAAGATATAATTTTACACGTTATCAAAACTATGACGATTATTTTAAGAGAGAGTATTATTTTCTACTTAAATACTCCATCCATTTATTCACTATTCAAAATTCACGTTTTTTCAAAGGAACCAAAATACATACGAGTCATCCATGATATATCACTACAACTTTGTTATCAATACCATTTTTATTAGTCTATTGACAAGATGTCCATTGTATGAAGAATAAAAAGGCTTCTACATTTGTGCCCTACACCCAATTTCATCTTTTAATCGAAATTATTTTTCATTCAAGTCATTATTCCCTCCTCAAAGTACTTTACACTTTGCATAAAACAAAGCAAATTTTGATTTTTTTTAAAATTAATCTTATTTAAAGATTGGTATACAAATTAAAAATAAATTTACATATTTTAAAACTACGTTAGAAATTTTACAGGTGACAGGGATATTTTATTTTTTTCAATTCATTTTATTTAAAAAATGATATAAAAATAAAAAATAGAACTTACATACGTATTTAAAACTACGTCAAAATTTTAAACAATAAGAGATGACAATAATACTTTTTTTATCAAATAAGAAATGAAAAACTACAAAAAATTGAAAATTATCATGAATTTTGAACAGCATAGAGTGGCGGGCATCCATCGTGGGACGAGGGAATAATATATACTCCGTACTTGTAAAACAAAAAATATATACTTCCTTCGTCTCTAACAACTTCTCTTGTATTGATTTTTAAGAGATTTAAATGGGTATATTTTGGCATTGACTTTAAAATATGTCTTAATGTGAAAGAGACACCTTTTGAGAAATTAGTACTCCGTAAAAGTTTTAACGTTGTTTGACACACTTTTGACAGATGTTAGTCGTGGAACTAAATTGAGCATTATTTTCTATTAACGAGTATCATTTCTATAATTAGTTCATCTTAGAAACTAATTTAAAAAACATAGTTATTGAGCATTATTATGAAAATTACTCAAGAAATAACTAAACACATTATTTAAATGGTCAATGTACGCTTCTAAAGTGATGAGAATGTCACATAAGATTTAAGTGACCAAAAATGAATGCAGTATATCAAACCAATTAAGCAATGAATAAATCAAACAAATTAAGCCAAAGACGCGCACTTATTTACATTATAACCAAATTTATAACTTAGCCAAAAATAGTGGAAACATCTAATCTAGCCTTGTTTGGAAGAGAGAGAGAGAGAGAGATGGGTAGTGATAATTATGTTTCAACGCACAATCTATTTAGGTTTCATTCGCAATCCCATTGAACTCATCCACCACAAATATTGTACGTAGGGACGACAAATAATACAAATGACAAATCGACCGAATTGATAGATTCAGATTTGTATTTTCTTTATATAAAATAAATATTTACGAGTACACACTAATAATAAAGATAAATAAATAAAAATGAGCGCTAGTTTAGGGTTGGTCGGTCTTCCCTCCTGTGGAAATTCCTGTGACAGCCGCAAGCCGCACAGGTGAGGGCGGCAGCGGTCCCCTCGGCGCCGCAGGGCATGAACTCCCGGCAGCCGTCGACTGCGTGTCCGCCGATGTTGGCCGCGTGGTTCCGTTGGCATTCGGCGTAGCGAACGTTGTTGTTGGCGGAAGAAGTGGGTGGTGCTCCCGTGTTCCTCCTCGTCATGTCTTTCATCACCACCACTTTCGTCTTCTTCATGATAGATAGATATATATATATCTATTATTAATTCTTTGATCAATTCGATCAAATTAAAAAGCACCCAAATTCAAGATCAAATCGCTAGAAGGTGAGAACATATAAATGGATTATGCGCTGGCTTGGCTATATATAACTTGCACATGCTTTATATATATATATATATATATATATATATACANGATATATATATATATATATATATATATATATATATATATATATATATATATATATATATATATATATATATATATATATATATATATATAAACCGTAGTACTCCCTCCGTCCACCAAAGATCTTCACATTAACCCTTTTTATTTATCCACCATAGATCTTCTCATTACCTTTTTTTAACAATTAAAATACCACAATTACCCTCATTTACTTTATTTATTACACCTCATTTAATACACTCCACCCATTTTCATTAAGGGTATTATGGTAAACTTTCACCTTCTTTTAACTCTTCTTAAAAACTACAAAAAGTCAAAACGAGAAGATCTTAGGGGGGACGGAGGGAGTATATAATTATATATGCAGACCTAAATCAAACAAAATTTACCATAATACAAACAGACAATATATTTGTTGCTATTAGGCTCTAATGCTCTCCGCAAGAAAAAAAGCGTTAAGTCATCTAAATAGTCACGGACGACGTATCAAAACGTTGTCGTTTTTGTTCAGCTTGAAAGCCCACACAGTACCTCATAAAACATGGTGAGTGTTTGGTATATTAAAGAGGAATGGGGTGAGAATATATGATGGATATTTTGCCCAACGAGATATAGAATGGACCTAGTAGGCTATTACATACTATAATTGCGTAGAGTGGGTCGAAAGGAGATCGTTTAAGAGATTGGGATTGGGCCACGAATTAGCTGGTAAGAGACGATCAGTCCCACGAGTCGTGGATGACTCATGAACGATTCTCCGATCCTCCCATAATTGGCGGCGCTGATCAAATTAATCGTGAGAATCGGAAGAAACCCAACCAACGATCAAATATACCATAAAGATCGTATTGTGTATATACTATAAATGGGGAGTAGAACTTCCTTTGTGATCCCAAGCTAATACAAGCACTATTAAGATCATACTTTGCGAGTTTTGTTATTGTCCTTATTATTGTTTTTCGTACATTCATAATTGGTGGGCTAAAATTCATCAGAGTGATACTATCTTTCAATGTTTTTCGATAGCAGTGCCTCAATTAAGGGTACCTAATTATGGTGTTCTCTTTGTAAAATTTATGATTTCAACCACATAAGCTCCAATCCCTACCCCTGTCCCTGGCATGGATTAGTGATAATATAGGCAGCAGTATATACTGATTTACTTGTTTTTTGTGTGTAATTGGACCTATTTTTTATATTTCAATTCGGTTAAATATTTTGTCCTTAAAAAAGGTTTCCTTGACTTGATTCATAAAAAATAAAGTTTTATTTAGAAAAAAATTTCGTGTATTGAACAACACATTTAGATTGGAACTCAAAGAAAAATATTATAACGCAAAAAGTGTATTTAAAATTTATTTAGAAAAGAGAAAAAAATTGTGAACTAACTATTACTTACACTTGTGAAAATACTAAATGTTCTCTCCATTCACATTTAACTAACCTTTAAAAAATTTTAAATTCAGCAAAAGTTGAATGAATCTCTGGACACATTCAAATCTATATATATGCTTCTTTTTTTAAAAGAAATCAACATACATTTGTTTTTAAATGTATCAAAAACATCATAACGACGAATTAATTAATAAAGAATGTAAGAGTTGTTAATATGAAATGCGCGTAGAGCTCGTGTTACCGATGGAAACGTGTTACACCCAGAATGAATGAATATGTTGATTAAGAAATGGGATTAACAAAGACACAAATTAAGTTAAGCACGACAAGTAATAATTATTGACTAATACATACACAGTAAGTAATAATTGTACTTATTGCACGAATATAATTAAGAGTGACATTAGTACATTATTACCTGTCATTTGATGATAAGATTGGTATGGGCTATTTGAAATACGGAGTAATCCATGAATTGAAAGCCATTGATTAATTCCTTTTTTAATGAAAAAATGTTGTAAAGTGTGCATTTTTGCAATCTCATTCATTATTTGTCCGTTTATTATTTATAGAGTTAAATTTTATTCGCTTTGCTAGTCTATCTTCGTTGTTTATTTAATAATGTAATATATTCATGTTACATCTAATTTTGTATTATATTTTGAGTTAGATTCTAAATACTCCATATGTATTTTTATATAAAATAATTTGAAAACAATTTAAAACAAATATTATAATGCATGATGAGAATAAAATTGGAAAATGCAAGAAATATGTAGTGATTATAAGTGAGTGCCCAACAACCGTATAATATAAAGAGCAATTAGAATTTGATTCAACCAGAGGAATTAAATTGATAACATAAGGAAATGCGAACACAAGGTAATGATGGGAAAGCTTTGCCTAAATGGCACACAAAGTGATTGATTATACCTCATTGCTCTAACCCACTGAACTGATCCGCGGGTCCTATCACATTTGAATACAAATTACACCTTATAACGTACACCAAAAACTGTATCCTAATGATTTATATTGACACAAAATTTTAGTTAATTAAAAATATATGCACTGACATTTTATATTATTGTAAAACAACACACTACCATCACACTAGCCCAAAATGTTGGTATATGTCTTCGGGATACAAACTGGTGTACAATTTTTAATGTACACATATCATTTTCATTTCAATTATAATCTCATTCTTTTGAAACAAAAGGTGATAAGAATTTATTTTATTTTTTCAAATAATCAATCCAAACACACAAACAAACAAAAGTTTTCATGATTTTGGGAAGAGTAGTGAAGTGTAGCATTCTTTTTGGAACGAACAAGCATTATTATTGTTGTTGTTGTTATTGTTGTTGTTGTTGTTATTATTATTATTATTATTATTATTATTATTATTATTATTATTGCATGTGATATTATTATCACTATGATTCTTTTGACCTGAGTTAAATAATTGACCTTAGAATGTCCCAGGGTCTCTACGGGGCTTCATTAAAAAAAATTATAGGTTCTCATCCCTCTGCCTCCTTGCACCCCACCCACGCCAGCACCCCCTAAACCGCCAATGCAATTTGGCCTCTGTGTTGGAGTGGGGGCAAAAAGGGTTGGAGGGTAAAAATCATCAACTTTACGAACGAAACATCGTAGATGCCCAAAATACCAAAATTATTTACATTCACCTTTGGCTCGGGTCAAATGATCTTTGTTATTTTATTATTATTATTATTAGTATTGTTGTAATTAGGGGTGTTCAAAAATATCCATCCCGAAATAATCTGTCCACGATCGAGGTAGATCCGATCCGATATTTTTATTTCTCCGATTCTTTTCTTTCTAATTTTCCATTACAACAAAGGGCCTGATTGGGAATAAAGTTAGAGATTAGTGTTAGCGTTTTGAAAAGATTATCTACGGCCAGCGTTTACCGTTAGCGTTTTAAAAGTAATTTACACCGTTAAAATTTTATCCAAAACGCTAACGCTAATCTCTAACACTATTCCCAAACAGGCCCAAAGATACACGTCATTCAATTATTTAAATTAAAAGAAATTATTATGACACTAATGAGTAATTGTGTCCCAAAATGTCATTTTTGTGTTTCAATCATGTATATTTCTTATTGTGTGTTTGATTTGCTGCACCATGAATTATCATTAGAAAGTTTCTATAATGTAGTATGTGTGGTTTTAAGCTATCAATTGTGTCCTTAGTGAGAATCTTTGATAATAATATTTCACCAAAAAAACAAAAAGAGATTAAATTATAAACATTTTTAAAGAAAATTGGAAGTTTTAAAGAGTTTCAGTGCTCAAAAATTTACTTGTCAAGAATGGGATTCGAACCCATGCCCTTTCGGACCAGTACCTGAAACTGGCGCCTTAGACCAACTCGGCCATCTTGACGTGTGCTTCCACACCTCCGCAAAATATTTATGTTCAAGGGTTCTTTGATCACATATTTTGCAAAAGTACATTTTTTTCAAATGCAATTGAGTACTATAATTAATTCTTCAACAGATGGGAAATACAATCAGGGGGTGAAAAAGTATAAAATATAAATTTAATATAATTTGGTATATTAAATTTTTTAATCATTTATTAGTCGAGTTTAACTTTTTTTCAAATTAAATAAACTTAAAGTATCATTTGCTTTTAAATTAGATTGCATATTAATACATTATTACAATAAAATAAAATAAAACAAAATTAGAGAATTTTAGAGTTACACCATCCAAAATGATGTAACATTGTGATATCATCCATACTTTAGTTAAAAAGACATGGAGTCAAACTTTGTTTTTCCCGCCCATGCGTTATTACATTAACAAATGGCAATTGTTCACTTAAAATGGTATGTTTCCGAAAATATAATAATAAATATTAAAAACTTACGCTTGTGCTTAATTTTCCATGCGTTATTACATTTACAAAAATAACAATTATTCACTTAAAATGATATTTTTTATTACATTAACAAATGACAATTGTTCACTTAAAATAGTAAGTTGCCAAAAATATAATAATCATTATTAAAAACTTGCGCCTGTGCTTAATTTTCCATGCGTTATTACATTTACAAATGACAAGTTAATTATTATGAAGTTAAAATTAATATTAGTTTTTACACACAATGCCTTTAAAAAACATGAAATTATAAATCTAAAAAATAATTATTACATAATATTAATAATCTTAAAAAATTAATCCAGAAAAGTGGTTTAAAAGCTATAAATACAATTCCTTTTTTATCACACTGAACTTATCCATTCGTATGGAGTGTACTGATTATACAATTTCGTACGTTACTTTAACCTCTTTTTTTTGTGTAGGGGCGTTCGGAATTTGTTCCTTTTTTATCACATGGTATTTTAATACCGTAATTGTCATTTTTATACACCCAATTGGAAATAATTACAAAAGGTAAGTTATACAATTATACACCCAATTTCGCAAAAAAAGGAAATAATTAAAAAAGGTAAGTTATACAATTATACACCCAATTTCACAAAAAAGATAATTGGAAATAATTAAAATTTATGAACAATTTTATCTCCGATTTTTAAAATTTACTTTTTAAAAACGTGATATTATTAATAAAAAAATTATTATTAAAAACTATAATAAATACTCTTCCTTTTTATCACACGGTAATAACCAGTTTTAACACGTAATCATTTTAAAAAAGGAACAAATAATATGACACCGTTTATAATTGGTAATTAATCCATACTTTATTTAAAAAGACATGGAATTAACATATGGTTTTCCCGCCCAAAGGGTATGACAATTACAAATGACAATTGTGAAGTTAAAATGGTAAGTGGCCAAAATTATAGTAATAATTATTATAATCATTATATTTATAATAATTAAAGAAAGGTAAGTTAAAATGTCCGAAAGGTAAGTTAATAATTTTAGTGACCGAAATTGTAGTAATAATTATTATAATATTATATTTATAATAAATATAAAATGGCTAAAATGTAAGTTAATAATTGTGAAGTTAAAATGGTAAGTGACCGAAATTGTGAAGTTATAATTATTAAAAAAGGTATAAATATAATAATTAATGTATTGAAAATTGGAACTAATTAAAAAGGTAAGTTAATAATTGTAGTGGCTGAAATTGTAGAAATTATATATTTATAATAATTATAAAATTGCCGAAAGGTAAGTAAATAATTGTGATGTTAAAATGGTAAGTGACCGAAATTGTGGATTTATAATTATTAAAAAAGTTATAAATATAATAATAGCTATTATTTTTATAATAATTAATTAACGTATTGTAAGTGTGAAGTTAATATAGATATTATTTTTATAATAATTAATGTGAGTAATATAAAATGGTAAGCGTGATGTTAATATAATTATTATATATATATATATATAATAATTAACTTATTGAAACTTGAAAATAAT